CTAACCAGTATTTTCGCCCCTTCCCAAAATTACTTCAACGGAAGGTTTCCAGATGGATATGCGGAGCAAATCCATCTGGCGGAGTCAGGTTATAAAACTGGTGGAACGCCATGGAAACCACAGATGTGACGCTGATCTGCGGCTCGAGGCGTTGGGGATAACAGGTTTCCAAAGTTAAAGAATAAAATCGTTTGGCGTCGGCAGAAACCTGATGGGTTTCCCTAATTCTCTGAGGCGACTTAACTTTTCTTTTAGATCCCAAAGTAAAACGTTCCTCCTTGCATCCCATTCTAACATCCAGCTCAGCAGGGTGTGTATAAACCAGGCTGTGGGAAGTGGACCGACACCCTTTAATTAGTCCGTTATCTCAGAACCGGAGGGGCGCCTGTCTGTTGAGCTTCTCTTTCAAGGCTTAGATGCTTCAGCCCGTTTGCTAAGAACAGCAGAATGGCGCCAAATCTTTATTGGTTCTGAGTCTCAGTTTCTAAGCACCCAGGCTGGGGGTCATATCCACGGATCGCCTTCTCACTCCTGCGATCATCTGTCCTCTCTGTAGGTGTCCTTCAACGTGAGCGTGGAGGCGAGGAGCTGCCCGCCCCGCGGCACCACCCAGACCTTCACCATAAAGCCGGTGGGCTTCAAGGACCGCCTGGAGGTGTCTGTGGATTATCAGTGCGACTGCGGCTGCAGCCGGACGGCCCAGACCAACAGCAGCATCTGCAGCTCCATCGGTACCATCACAGCTTTCTCTTTGGTTGCAGGCTGGGGCGGGCTTACACTGCAAAAAATCACAATCTAGATAAGTTGTTTTTTTCTAAAAATAAGTGCATTTGTTTTTGGATTGAAGAGGTAAAAGAGACATTTTGCCAATGGAACAAGACAATTTACATTTAAATAAGGAAACACAATTGCATTTTTATTATTTCAAGTGCATTTTATCTAATAATCTTATTTTAAGAGTAAAAATACTCATACCATTGGCAAACTATCTCATTTACCTACTCAAATTAAGGGTAAATACACTGAATTTAAGAAATTGTTACTTATTTCTAGATCGTTTTTCCAGTGTAGCGTGATCTGTTCAGCCTTTACAGCTGCAGAAAGAGAGATTCTCTTCATTTTTAACTAACCTCACTATTTATAAAAAGTATTATTATTTAAAAAGTAAATGACTCGTTACATGAACAGAAGCTTGTTGCTTGTCTTTGCTATTATTAGAGAAAGGTGTGAATAAACACAGGAAACTGAAGCTGTGGGAAAGTGTCAAACCTGCAACAGGAAGCTGAAGCTCAGAGCCCAGAAATCAGCATGAATCATTAAACTGAACGCTTCCTCTGAGAACACAGAGCTAGAGAGGTTAGATGTGCACTTGTGCGTTTTCATCTACAGTAAACAA